ACCCAGTGACCTTTAGGGCATGTTCTAATTCCGACAGGTATTCTTTCTTTATCGCGTCTTTCGCGTTGAAGTTGAGTCCCCTGATGAGAACTTCTTTTTCTTCGTTTGATATTGGACGTGTTGGAAGGTTCCTGATCCGGGCGTCGTGTTGCTCAGTCGCCTTGTGCTTAAACAAATTCTCAAGTTTCTTGGCCAACGAATTTTTCCTTTTTGCCGTTGTGTTGTTGACTCTCCTCTGTATAGCTGATTGTAGACTTTTCAGGGTTTCGTTGTCCAGTATACTTTCGCAAGTTATTGTCTCTTCCCTCACGACGTTGTTCGTATTTATGTAGACGTCGATGAGCATCGGTAATCATCATTCTGACCATGCTTCTGCCGTATCGTATCACTATTTTCCAGGCTTCTGGGTCGTTGACTGGTGGTCGATGACTAACGCTTGACGGGAGGACGTTGTTTCGTAAGCACTCGTGTAGAAAATATAGCTGCTCGCGAGTTGAAGCTTGACGACAGGCGAAAGCTTCCCATCGACGAGCGGCTTTGAGCGTTGAACGCCCGAAAACGGATGACAGTTTTGTAAACAACGGTGTTGACTGTTGCTTTTGTAGCTCGGGTAGTTTAACGTGGTGTTCAGTTGTTCGCTGAGCTTGGCAATTGTATTGCTGAACTGAACACTGAACACCAAAATACTGAGGTCTTCTTTTCGACGTTCTCAGTGTGGCATTTGGCTGATGAGTGTAACAAATTAGTCGACGGCAGTGATACGGTTTTCCCGGTGGGTTCAAACCCCATTCTGAATACGCGACTGTTTTTCTTCTTCTATGGTTTGGTGGAGATCATTTCACATTTTGTTGTGCTTGATGAATTTCTGAACTGCTGTTTGCGATCAAAACAAACAAACGTGAAAGAATAGCAACTGATCGATATCTGTTTTCCAAAACTAGAAAAACGGTTGTGGGAATTCATCTTCGGTAGCAATAGCGAAACAAAATCTTGTTTTTGTGAGGTTATTTATTCGAATGAATTCACTGGTGGTTTATAGTTTAGTTTGAAATGTGGGACTCTCTCACCATACCGGAGTTAACATAAAGCTCAATTTTCATAACATCCGAGTAACCTTAGTTATCTTTCAATAATTACGTCCAAGTAATATAATTTCTCAATTCCTTTTGCGTTTCGAAATGAAAAGTGGTTAAATAAGCTTATTTAACTTAAAAAGTTTTTTACTATACCTTCCTAACCAATTTTGTTTTCCATCTTTATTTCTTCCTATCGTCTGTTTACTGAGATAATATAAACTTCTATGGAATCTTTCAGGAACTGGAAGAATGTAAGCGTAATGTGGTAACTCGTTCAGCCCTGAGTGAGAACCAACCGAGCGTTCCATCTATCCGTGTAACCCATAGCAAGGGTCCCACTTATGTGCTCAAACTGGAGATGGAACACGAACGTATTAAGACTGCCTACAAGACCTTGAGTAAAGAACGAGCTGATTGGTTAATCACGAAAGAAGAGAATGAGGAATTACGCTCGCAGGTTCAACAATTGAAAAATTGGCGTCAGAGGGCGCTGACTGCAGAAAACGCATTGGAAGAGATACAGAATCTGGCTGATCTGAATAAGTCCTCCACAGCAGAGGGGACCAAACTCGGATCGGTGATCAGTCCGAATCGTGTAAATTATTTGGAACGAGAAAATCAGCTGCTGCTTGCCGAAACCGGTGAGCTTCGCGGTCGGTGAGTCTTATGCGTTTCCCTCCGTACGTGTGCACACACTTGCACTATTGTGCTAGGTTCTGAAATGCCGCCAATGATTATTTCACCATTGGATAAATCGTTTTAGTTGTTTTCACTTTTACTTCCGTTTATTGAATATACGAAGATAATTTTCAGGGAAGGGGAAGCGGCCAATCATAGGACTGCTATACAACACATAATAAGGAATGATAGGTCGTGTTGGTGTGATTTGAACACGTCCTCCGGGGTGATAATTCGGTGGCGTTACCCCTGGGCCGCCACCACCCGGTTCAGTCGAATTAATCATACGTGCAGACTTGGGATTGGTTTGATCATCTTGCATCCGATCGTATTTCTGTAACAGTTTTCTATCTCAAATCGTGATTCAGTCCATCTAAATCTCGAACCGTAAACCCTTGGTCGGTTATTTCCTTTGAAGCTTTCATTTCCCAGAGTTCAACCACTTGCTGAATAATTCATTCACATCGTCGCATTTGTATGATAACCTCAAAAACGTTGCATATTTTACGGGACGAAAACAAGTAACTTAGGAAAGACAATATGTGCAGAACTGAAAATTTCAACGCAGGCCAGCCTTATACAAAAGTGATTTGCGAATGGTTTGCGCCTGAGGGGAACATAGACACCACAGATGTGCTGTTTACCGAAGCTGCATAAAAAGACGTTCCATTACGACCCATTCTCTGCCGTCAAGTGCGTCTATTATGCAGTTCATTTCACTACCACACAGATACCGAAGTCATCCGTGAAAAATCCCAAGCCTCCCCCCCCTCTGCCAAGCAAACCGCATCTGCCAAGTGAAGTGTACATGCTCAGCTATCTACACAGGCAGGACAGAAACGCAGTTAAGTCACCGAATGGCTGAACACATTCGAGTGTGGCTTAAGAAAGCGATTTACGACAAGTTTGAAACTGTTACATTATCGAATGAGCAAACAGACTTAAATATTCGATAACCAACACTTATTGGGACAAAAGCGTTGTCACTCGAACCCACTCATTTCAGGTCATCAACAACACAAGAAACACAAAGTGACTGAAATTTGCCGAAGCTCTAGTCATTCATAGTCGTAAATCCGATCTATGGAAAAAACGCAAATGGTTATCTTTGCCTTGGTGATTAACTCTTACCCTCCCCCATTCTTTGTGTCAGTTTGTCGTGTTGTCCTTTGTGATTTGCTATTTTGTCTTCATCTCACGGTTATTGTTTCACTGACTATAAAAAATCACTTTGAGTGCAGTGTGCACGTGTAAGGATGCAGCAAAATGACCACGGATGCTTTGTACGAGCCCATGTTTCTGACTTTTCTGTTCAAAGTAAAGTGTTTTGATGTTTTCTTCACTGCTAGTCAAGCAAAATTACCATTTTTATTTATCCTACACCAATACTTACTAGGAATTATGAGACGATTATTAATTTGAAATATGCCAGGAGTCTACAACTGGTTTCATCGAGAACAATCTAGTGTATGTGTGTGTATTGCAGGTAGACCCGAAGTGCGTGGACAAACATGGAAAAACCTGTGCGTGCTGTGAGTGATTGAATCTGTGGTCTCGTTTGCAGTATTGGATAACTAATCGTTTCTGTTTATTGTTTCACGTCTTTTGCAATGTGAACACACTGTCGCGTCCATTCACTATAATGCCAAGTTGCCCATGTCCAAGCAGGTGGTTTCCTTAAGGTGTCTTAACAGAATCCGACGCACAAAACAGTAGAGTGATGTGAAGATTGCACACATTTCATTGTGTTACATTATCTGTCCCTTTGCGGACAGTAAATATTATTTGTTACCCCAAATAACTTAGCACATACGCTCTATGTCCTTTCCGGTAGTTCCTGTTTCTTCTGTGTTTGTTTATTCATATGCGATTTTTTAGCGTTTTCCATAAGAGACGCAGTTTGTCCTCTTATCCGCTGGCTATTTCTCATTGTTTCCTTCTCAGCGCGTTCGAGCTCCAATCCAAACTGGAACATGCATTAAGTCAGTTACAAACAATGAAGGGACATCGAGACAAACTGCTCGAACATGTGCGCAGTGGACCGAGTCAAGGTGGAGTGCGGTGGGCTGATACCGATCTGCTGACTACACCTGTTCAAGTACGATATATTGAAGTGTATACGGCAACATAATACTTTGAATGCGAATATCTGGACGAAGCATACTACCCGTTTTGCGTTTCTCATCTCTCGTTATGTATCTGATACTCGTATGTCATCAATCATCCTGAAACTTTTACATCCGATGTGAATTTCACCATAAAATTCTCATTTACATCTCGGAATTGTTTCGTGACGGACCACCCTTAAAGATCATTGCAATCTTTGTATTTGTT